AAAAAGAAAAAAAAAAGAAAAAAAAAAGAAAAAAAAAGGTACATATCCTAACATCACCAATATGAAGAACAATGAAAAAATAATAATAATAAATCGTATTGTACTGATGTTGTAAGTCTACTAAACATGTTAGATGTACTTGGAGACTCGAAACATTAAACTCAAAAATCCAAGTGAAAGAGAGAAACAAAACAGATATAAAGCAGAGTGGAAGCTAAAAGCGATAGCCATGTAAAACACATGGTGCTTGAGTCATTCTTATGGTGACCCGCGGGAATAATGAATGGGGTCGATCTGCCCCCCCTTCCTCCACTACCACGTCCACGTGATCCTGATCCGCCACTACCACGTCCGAAGCTGCCGCCGCCACGTGATCCGCCGCCACTGCCACCTTTGGCTTGTGAATTGAGTACGAACGATATGATCAATATTAGGATTAGTAGTTTCCCTTTGCTGATTGGACAACGTGAAAACATGTTCATCTTCGTAAATAAGCTGCTCCTAGATTGTTGTTTATTCTCATGGTTTGGCTACAATAAATACAAGGGGGACTTGACCTATAGTCCAATACAGATAAGGTCTAGGAGTCCTTTTACTCCTAGGATACGTGTTCCTTTTTGTTCTTTGTGGGTCCCAAAATTGACTTTTTCAAGATCCCATAATGTAGAAAAATTACTTCTTCGGTATTACTTTTTAGTGATAAACTTTGTAAGTTAAATGTGTAAATTGCACAAAGTAAAATTTATCATATACTTGTTAAATGCGATATTATGTTATTATTAAAAGTTAAATATGTAAATTTTATTATATATATTGGTTAAATGTGGTGCCAACGAGAGTCGGTATCGAACTGAGACATTTGACATATTATTTAATTATTAACATATTATTCAAAAGGTACTTATTATAAATCCTTAATCTTTATAATTATATATATATATATATATATTTAATAAAAAAAACTAATACGTATTACATACAATGCACGAGTAATAATATTTTGATTATATTTAGAATTCAGATTAGAATTATGATTAACTGTATCGTTACACTAACAAAATTTATATATATATATATAATTGATAGTAAAGAATTTAGCTTTTTTTTTTGTTTTCCCACCTTTTTTCTTTACTTTTTCATTAGTCATGCAATTATATTATTTATTTATTTTATTATATAATTGTTATTATCAACTAATCATAAAGTTACATTACATGTTATTCTATTCTAAAGCTCTTTAAATTTTTAATTAATTTTTTTTTTCAACTCATTAAGCAAGTTTTTTATTATATCCGTTAAAATTGCGTATAAAATTACTAAAATAATAATTGCAATATTGTTTCATCCAGTTAATTGGACATAATCAGTTAAAATTGTATCAATATAAAGATTAATATGTAAGTTAAATAGTTTATTTTATATCGTTCATTTGTACTAATGATCAAATTTATAAAATATGATATGCTCATTATCTAACTTATACTTTTAAATATTACATAAATATACAAATAATGTATAGATATTTTTTTTTACATTTGTTCATGTGCACTTGATCGAATACTAGTTTATTATATATTAGTTAAAACTGAGATTACGAAATAAATATGTCATATTTCCCAAATCAGGTAAAATGTCATCCAAAGGTGAATGTGATGTGTATTTCATCTCTGAATTTTTTAGACTATTTTATTCGTATTGTTTTGTTTCATTTGGACACCAATTTCTTCATATTTATTTATGCATTAAAAATATATGTATATTGCTAAATTTTGATTAGTGTTTCGTATAAATAGTTTTTTTTTTTTTGAGTTACAATTGATATTTTTTTCTCTTCTCTCATATCATAGAACCAAAACATTTATTAATTAAGAAAATCTTAATTTGTGAATTATTTAACTCTAGTTTTATTTTGCTGGTGAATGGTGAATTTAGTGGGGTTGACGGTGCTCGGAGACAGAGAGAAGCGAAACCAGAAAATTAGAGGGGGCAAAAGACATGATATAATGGGTTTAGAACCGAACCCTAATGGTTTCAGAATCGATAACATTTTGGTAATCGATTTTCGGTTATCGTTACACATAAGTCGGTTTGGTTCGATTTATTTTCTCATCGGTTCGGTTCAGTTCGGTTCAATTTTCGTTTTCGGTCAAAAAATACCAGCCCCAGCCTGGGCAATAAAAAAGAGTCGAAGTCTTTTATATGGGCCAATTAAAATTGTAGAATGATAATAATTAATATACAAAATTAATAGTAAAATAAATTAAGTGTTGAATTGTTAATTGACAATTGTGGACAAGTTGACTGGTGAATGACGTTTAAAAACAAAAAACATGGGGGTCAAAAATAAATTTAAAGGGGGGCAAATTAAAACTTTTAATATTAATAGTAAAACAATTAAAATTTGAGGGGGGGCAATTTTCCTCCTATCACTCAATCTAAATTCGCCCCTAGAGACAGACAATATTGGTCGAACTCCGTTATCAGTTTTGTGTGTTCTTTTTTCTTTCTCATTTTTTATTTATTGTGTTAGATTATTTTTGTTAGTAGCAGTGTTTGCCATTATTTATTGTGGAGGCATATATTTTTGTCCGTTCAGCTAGTTGTAATACCCCAACAAGTGGTATCAAAGTCGAAAGTTCGTCCTAAGCTCGTTTGGTCAGGCGAGCACTGCATTCGAGATTGAGATGGCCAAGGAGATCAAGGGCACATCATCCTCTGCACTCATTCTGGCAAGGATGGCGATGTCGAACGTCAGACTCCTAATGGTGAATGGAGATCTTCAATTGGACCGGTCATTTCATCATGTGGCGAGGTGAAGTGATGGATTGTCTCTTTCAGCAAGGAGTTGACATCGCCATTGCAGAAGAGAAGCCAAATGACGTTGACGAAAAGGACTAGAAGAATATAAACCGTTTAGCTTGTAGAACAATCCATTTGTGTTTGTCCATAGAGGTAAAGTATGCTTTCAAGAATGAGAACTCTGTGCACACCAAGTGGAAGGCTTTGGAGGATTAATTTATGAAGAATAACGGCCAGAATAAGCTCCTCATGAGAATACGATTGTTCCGATATGAGTATCTTATATACATGAATGGCCAAGTTACTGCATTCAGTCAGTTGGTTGCAGATTTGTTGAACTTGAACGTCACATTCAACGAATAAGATTTGACTATAATGTTGTTATCATTTCTGCCCGATGACGTCACATTCGAAGGTGAAGAATGTCGATGTTCATATAAGTTCGAATTATCTACGAATTAATCCTAGATACAGGGAATCTAATGACTTACGGTTTTAAAAATTTGCCGATTCTGTACGAACTTACGTGGTCTGCGGGACCAGACGAATGGGTCTTCCTTTTACCTCGGGATGTTTTGTTGTATTCCCGACACCGACTCCGTACGTCTTGGTGAGCGACTAACTCGAATCCTCCATGAGATGGTCTCATGTCGATCGCTAGGAAAAATAAAAAAAGAAGATTATGTATTTTTAGACACTATATTTATTTCTTATTAATCTAGATCTCGATTTTTCTCTCTTCTAAAAAACTCACGCAAGCACGAAAAGTATGATGGAGATGGGCGGTCAAAATCATTTAATGGATTCGTGTATTCATAGACTATAAAAGAGACCTTAAGAAAATGCTAAATAAAGACTTTCCATTTGTGAACAGGATTCTAAGACTTTTGTGTACGGGCGCAATGATTATTGTACGTGGATGAGACGAACTACACACTTGTTATATATAAACAATCAAATCATTATCACCTTATTTAAGGACGGAGGGCTTTGTCTGGTTTGTACAATTTGTAATAAAGAAACATTTAATGTAAGGCAACTATAACATAAACAAGTGTCACCAAGCCAAAGGTACAACTAATGTAGCCAAATATAACATAAAAATAAAAAATAAAAATGATGTGTATCCTAACATGTGTGACCAATCTAGAATTTATCCTTGTAATCGAAAAGAAACATAAGCTAAATACGACACGATTGAATAGGCCCAGTTCACAGACGTATACGGGCTGCTGTTAGTGGGCCGCCGCGAACCCCCATTAGGCAGCGGACGCACGACACTCGTGGTCCCGCCGCTGCTTTGACCTCCGCCACCCGTTGATGAGCCGCCGCTGCCACCGCCGCCTCCGTCACCGCCTCCGCCGCCATCACCATCTTCGCCTCCTCCTCCTCCTGTTCCACCACGGCCACCTGTACGGGTTGAGCCTCCGCCGCTGCCACCACCCCTTGTTCCACCGCCGCTACTGCCACCGCCGCCGGTGCCTCCACCCCTTGTTCCGCCGCCGCTACTTCCACCGCCACCTGTTCCGACTCCGCCGCTGCCGCCTCCTCTGGCTCCACCGCCACCACTAACGCCTCCACCACCTCCTCCTCCTCTTGCTCCACCTCCTCCGCCTCCGCCGCCGCCTCCACCGCCGCCGCCGCCGCCCGGAGGTGCAACCGCGGAGGTGAGGAATAGACAGAGGACTGCAAGCAGGAAAACAAACTTGATGCTGTTGTTCATGTTTTCGTATATCTCCTGAGAGAGAAAGCTCGTAACTTTTGATAATTAGTTTTTTGGAGCATAATAAAGGTCTTAATTTATAGGAAAGGCTTGAATCAAAGCGATAAGAGACTAATTCGTTTAGGATATTTTGAGAAAACGCGGGAATACTGCAAGAAGATTAATGATCTGCAGTTGGCCACGTTGTGAATAGTCAACTCAACCATAACTTAATCCTCAAAATTCCTTGGTCAATGAGGCGACTTGTTCAAATACTACTGAATTTATAGCTACAACATTTTGCTTCAAATGAAACTTTGAATTGCCTAAATTGCTAAACTATACATACACACACAGAACTATTTTTTTTTAATCGTTGATCTAATCAGAAGATCTTGTAACTTTCCTTTGCTACGAACATGTGAAATCCTTTTTCTTTTTTTNAATCCAGGTATTATAATTGTTAATATCTATTCAAAATTGTTAATAAACATCTCTCGCTACACGCATTAGCTTGAAAATTAAAGCTACGCTATGTTTTTTAGAAAAAAAAGCTACATATCGAGCTATTTAAAATAATGAATGACCCACGAAAAAAACTTGAGTTAAGTGAGATTTTGATTCTCACGGGGATCAAAAGCGAGAGAAAATTGATACGAAGTAAAAGATGACCATATCTTCCCAATTCATTTCTAATTTGAATTTTTTCATCCGGCAATTGAATATACTGTGATTATCGTACACATGAGATACAATAATGCATAATTGTATATGCTAGCCAAAAACACAAAAGCCTACCAATTAAAGCTCAATCTAACAATCCCATGAGATATATTTCTTGTAGATGCCGCAACTGGAAAACAATGAAATCCATTAACCATATCTCCAAATGAATAAAGTGCATTTAAGCTTATGTGGCATACATTAAAATTATCTTAATTTTGTATGATGTGCATTTCAACGGATAGGCATTTTATTAATAAGCACTGGAATTTACAAAGTTTCCGTAACTGTATACTACAGGCTCTTGTTGGTGCATAATAGAAAACAACTACAAAGAGCTGAATCTAAATGGTCTACTTATAGTGGCTGGAAGTGGGTTATTTTGGTTAATGAGTAGTTAAAATAATATGAATGGATGATTAGTTTAGTTATTTTACTTGAATCACTTCATGTGATAACTATATCCCACATACACAAGAACCAAGATTTAATGGCCTTTTGAATGCTTGAAGTAGAAAGAGTTGTTTGTCTGTCTGTTTTGAAAATCAATAAGTGAATGCAAAAATTGAACCTAACTTGTTGAACCAGACACTTGAAACTTGTTTCAATCCATAGATGGGCTTGTGCATCTTTCACACTAAATGTTCAATTCCAGGTATAATGAATCCAGTTCCGACCTACTTACCCCTACAATCTATGTTTTCCTTTGGCGCCTCCTTTTGCGCTGCCTACCGATTGACACTGTGATGCAGATGAGGGGGTTCTCCTTCCCCTCGCGTTGCTACTGTTGTGCCGAGACTAGCGATTTTTCAGACGGAGACCTTTACCCACCTGTTTTTAGAGAGCGAGACTGTGAGGAGAGTGTGGGAGCATTATACCAGTTACACTCATATCCCCCTACCTTCCACAGATACATTCTTTGAGCTTTTGAGTTTTTTCAGACACCGCACACACATTAGACACGTGAGCTTCCTTATTCCTTGTCTGATTCTTTAGGCCACCTGGACAGAAAGGAATAACGCGAAGTATAGGGATAACCCTTTTTTGTCTTCTCATATTATTTTGCAGATTGACCGATATCTCTCCCTCCTCACCGCTTTGGGCAGACTCACTCATAGAGACTGGGCAGGCTGCACGCCACCTCACTGCCTTGCACCACCTCCGCTGGTGCCTATCCAGCATCCACGTCCCAGAACTGTTGTTTGGCTGAAACCCGAGTCGCCTTGGGTTAAGCTAAACACTGATGGGGCCTTTGATCGACTTACTGGAGTTGCAGGAAGTGGGGGCCTGATTTGGGATCACAGCGGCGCCCTTATTGTCGCGTTTCATGCCCCTCTTCGGGCCTTTTCGAGCTATGACGCGGAGGTTCAGACGCTTCAGATCGGTCTGCAGATTGTCGCCTCGCTCTCCTCTCACATTTGGATAGAGTTGGACGCAACCGCTGTCATCACTCTTCTGTCATCTGGACATCAGGGCACGTGGCAGATCCAGCACCCTCTCATGCGCATCAGAGCCACTCTCCATACGATTCGCTCTCGGATCTCGCACATCTTCCGCGAGAGGAACCGGCCAGCTGACTTCCTCGCTGGCATCGGGTCCTCCACCCCCCACAGACGCATTCTTTATCCTGACAATATTCCTATCCGCCTCCGCACTCTTATATGGATGGACCAGAAGGGATACCCCTCATTCAGATTTGTGTAGCCAGATCTACCTTTCGGTGCACCCGCCATACTGTGATGCTGAATTTCTCGTCAGGACTCTACCCCGAAACATGATCTGTTATTTTCATAATTATCGCCGTAGTTGTTAGCTTTTCTCTGTATTTCTTCTTTTCTTTGTTATTTTTTTGATTTTTCGTTTGACTGGATGTATATTAGACATTGGAGTTGTAGTTTTGTGACTTTTCTGCGCATTTAGGGCATTTTATATACAGGTTAGGGGTTCGGCCTTAACCCTCCACCCTACTGGGGTGGTGTTAAAAAAAAAAAGGTATGATGAATCCAGTAGTTTGTGTCAAATATAACTTTGCATCTAGTTGTCCATGAAGAAAGGCATTATCAATATTTACCTCTTTGATACACCATTTTGAGGCTAGAGCAATGGAAAGTACAACCTTGATGGTTGCTAGCCTTGCCACTGGACTGAAAGTCTCACCATAGTCAAAACCTATAAATTGAGTATAGGCCTTGGCCGCTAGCCTGGCCGTGTGTCTTTCTATTGATCCATCAGCATTGTATTTTACATTGTAGACCCATTTACTTTAATCAATGACTTGTTCGAGGGTAAAGTGGTAAGAGTCCATGTTCTATTCTTTATAAGAGCATCATTCTCTCTTCATTGCTGCCTTCCAGTCTGGATTTGAGAGAGCCTCGTGATATTTTTCTGGCTCTTTCTTTTTAGCATGATTAATTTGTATACCTTGGGCTTATAAATCCCTGCCTTTGACATTATAATCATGGAGTGACCTCCTGCATTTTAATTATAAGCCTCAACAGGAAGATTAATAACAAAAACAAGTTATGTAATATTCTCTTCTCAAATTGTAAATGGACAAAGATATACGACAATCTAAGTCTGAAGGGTTAGAATTTTAAGAGTGTGAATGAATTTGTGGGGAGGAACTATACACATGAGAAAGTGTATGGTGTTTTGATGACATTGAAGGTATTAGAGGTGTAACTTCTAAGGGTTTAACAATGTGTAATGGTGGTGCAATCTTATGAGAATTACAAACGTTTTATGTTTCTAATTGTCTGGTGTAAAGAAAATGAGGCTCATCAAAGAGGACATTTCTTGTTACGATCACGTTCTTATTAAAAAGTAAGAATATACATCCTTTGTGTCTGCTGCTATATCCAAGAAACACACTAGGTTGACTTTTGTACTACAGTTTGTGCTGATTATAAGGTCTCATCAAGGGGTAACATAAACATCCAAAAGTCTTAAGGATGGAATAACTGGTTTAGCCTGATTCAAAATCTCAAAGGGGGTCTTCTAATCCAACACCTTGACAAATATTCAGTATATTATAAAAGTTGCACTATACACTACATCATCCCAATAAAAGTTGGTAAGTTTGAAGGAGAGATAAAGCTATATGAATAAGGTGTCTATGTTTTCTTTCTGCCATTCCATTTTCCTTTAGAGTATAAGGGCAAGAGATTTGATATCCTATTCCATTTTAATATAAATATTTGGGTAGGCTAATGAACTCACCACCATCATCACTTTGAAAAACTTTTGTCTTCTTGCATATTGGTTCTCAACAAAGTTTTTGAAATGGATGATGGCATCATACGTATCCTACTTTTGTTTGAGAAGGTAAACTCAGGTATTTCTACTTCTATAATCAACAAATGAAACATAGTATTGGTATTCCTGGAAAGGTTTGATTGGTGTTGGCCCTCAAAGGTCAGAATGAATGAATTCAATGGCACCATAGTTTGTGGGTGTAGAGACAAATAAAGAAAATTTATGAGTCTTGGGTTTCATGCAGGCACAACAACAAACATTCTTTGCATTCTCAATAAATGGAAGATTACAATCATTTAAGGCCTTTCTTACAATGTCCAAACTAGGGCTGCAAACGAGTCGAGCCGCGTCGAGCATTGGCCTTCTTGAGCATGATTGAGTTTTTTTTTAGCTGCTCGAGCTCGATTTTTTAGGCTCTAGCTCGAATCGATAAAAAATTACAATAGCTCGAGTTTGGCTCGAGCTCGACTCGAAATCAAAATGCTCGAGCTCGGCTAAAAATTTTTTAAATGGAAATGTAAAATTACCATTAAGGACCTATGCTAATATATATAAATGAGTATTTTAGTAATTTATATGTATCTTGAGCCGCTCGACGAGACAAAATATGGGCTCGTGCTCGGCTCGAGTTCGGTCAAACTCGAGCTCGAGTCGAGCTTTGATTCGAGCGCTCGCGTGCGGCTCACGAGCCGCTCGGTTCATTTGCAGCCCTAGTCCAAACTAGCATCACCAAATTTATTGTGCCAAATATCTAAATTCACTTTATTCCTAACTTCAGCAGAAAGAACACAAGGACTGAAGTTCCTGTGTTGAGATCCATTCTTTCTAAGTTCAAAGGACTTGGTTTGAAAATAAAAATTATAGAGACCATCTTTAGCATCTCCCTTGAGTAGAACTTCCTTTGAAACTTGATCCTTGACAAGACAAAATGAAGATTGAAACTCAAAAAAGACATTATTGTCTTGGGTAAACTATGGCACACTAATCAATTTTGTTGTAATGTTTGCCACATTTAGAAGGCTTTTAAGGAAGTTTTATTCTTAGTGGACATAACAATGGATTCTCCTAAATGAGAAATGTCCATGCTTGCCCCAATATTAAGCTGGATCATTTCTTCTCAATTGTACTCTGTGGAAAAGTTGAGGTTGCACTAGATCATATGTGACATGGTTGGTTGCGGTGAGTCTGAATACGAAAGATTAGCTTGACTACCTCCATTACCATTCACATCAGTGAAGTTAGCTGAGCCTCATGAAGAGAATTGATTCCCATTTTGTTGGCCTTGAAAGATTGAATTTTGATTTTTTTGGGACAAAGTTGAGATCATGTCTATAGTAGCACTTAAAAGCATATTTGACATTTAGGGCGACCTCCATGTATGCCTCCCAAGGGCGGATCTAGAAAAATATATTAAGAAGGCAAATATTACTTCTAATAATGTCATACATTTAATATAAGAGCAAAAAATGCATATGTTCCAAATTATGGTGCAACTAAGATTGCATAGTTTTCAAGTCATGAAAGCTATAGATATTGAACCGGTAAACTTTAGCGGGGAATAAAAGCAAAAAGATAGGCCCTCATTTTCTCTCAATAAATATTATATTTTTTTTTCTCAACCACAAAAAGGTACATATTTAGAGTGTGTGTTTATCAAATTACTTCTCATATATCATAGAATATAAATAAAAAACTAAACAATATAAAAGTAA